TCGGCTGTTGTAGAGCCTCCTTTTGAAGGCAGACTGAACATAATACTATCCAATCTGGACGGGATGCTGCAAACACACGCGTCATTTCGGCGAGAATGACTTGCTGGGCCTTAACACATTCCTTCCTGGCCGATTGTTTTCTCTTTCTCTGCCAAGTTTGTGTTTTGGACAGTGACGCTATCCGATTTCCCGAACTTTGTTGTTATTCCGAAAATTTGGAACCATTTGGCTGTGTGCGCGGAATTGACCTGGTTACCGGACAAACTCTGCGCACCGAAAGTACAGATCAAAGTCCTTCCAGTACTCAGAACAGTCTAACGAATGTCAATCCCACACAGACTGCAATGTTTCACTTGCCTGGGAAAGAGATCACTGGACTGAAAACGATTAAATTCCGGTGTCTCCGGTCTTTCCAGCCTGGATTTGGCTCTTAGCTGTCTCAGATTTCCCCACAGAGTTCCATTACGGTTGCTCCTTCCATAAAAACTTCCCGCATTGATTCATGACATGCGTGATCTGAATATCTGGGGCATTCCATACGCCCCAGGTATTCATTCATCGCACGTTTTTGGTTTGAACACGTGCTTTTACGTGTGTTTTAAACCATAGTTCGCAAAGTTTTGGTACGTGCCGTTTTTGATACATCTCTCCACCTTTTTCCTCTACCTCTGACTCGCAGACAGTCAGGCGCAAAACGGCGATTTGGAGACGGCGCCATCATCCGAACTTGCCAGGGAGTACAATCAAATCAAAAATGAAAACAAGAAACTCACTGAGGAGAATAACTTGTTAAAGTTGAAGGTTGACATCCTCTTAGACATGGTAAGACCGCCGTTGTCTTCTCCATATGCTCCGTATATGATGAGTATTGCTGACATAACTGTTAATGACGCACTTAATATTTGTTTCAGTAGTATTACTATTATCGTTAACAATATTATTAATAATTCGGAAAACTTGTAGGCCTCGGCGAGATTCGAACCCACGACAGCATGGGATTCAAATCCCACCAGATCACATTTATTGGTCATATCTGCCAAAGCCCCCTACTTAAAGTATTATAGTTGCATAAAGACTGACGCCGGAGTTGGGGATCTTAACCGCGGCTTCTCTTTTTACCTAGGCAAACCGCGCAATTACTATTGGAGACACATAGTTCGAAAGGCCCTTTTTAGGTATATATTGTTTCCGAGAAGGTAGTTAGCTTGAGATGGAGGAGACTCGATTGCTGAGAGAAGACAGTTAGTTGTCCGATATATTGCCTTCATACTAGAACCCGTCCTCAGAGAGCAGCTGGCGGAGATTCGGTGCTTTTCGAGTACACGTTAATAACTAAAGCTACTGAAGTAAACTAAGTAGTAGTTTCTGCAACAATATAATGCGCACATTTGCCTTCGCACCAAAACGGGCGCCTTGTTAAGTACCTGATTAATTTCTGCATGCTAGTTTTTTGCTTTCAGTTCTTCAATGGATTTTTCCTCTCGCATTTTGGATAAAGTGAAGTTTTTGTGTGTTCTAAAAGGGCTAGCTTGTGGGTGGAGATAAGCACAGATCTGGCAGGCTACCTACAGTAAATAAGAAGGCTTTTCGTTCGCCGAAAGCATGTCTTTAGTTAGCTGCGTTTTCGAATTCTTATTGCAATCTATCAGCGATCAAAGCGGCAAGAGTTATAGAAGACAGGGACCAGTAAAACACCAGTAACATCAGTCCGGAAGTGGTTGCGTAGAGATGCGTATGTCGGCGCCAGATCGGTTAGTCTGAGTCCTCCTGGGAGGCCCAGACTTAAGTAAATTCAAACTTGTTTTGCCTCTGGCGTGGGCGAATATATTCGTAGCTGTGAATTTAAACTCGTGACCTGTTTCGGAAAAATCCGTCGATCCATCTGGCGCTGGAATCCAGTAAAAGTTCGAAATCTCCGATCAGTTAACACATGATTTCGGCTAGCGAATAGCCATCTTTTTCCTCCTCTCCTCCCCTCGTCTTCTTTCTTCTTCTTCTTCTTCTTCTTCTTCTTCTTCTTCTT